ATTTCATATGTGAAAATCAATAAACAAACTGAAAATAAATGTTTTTTTTTCAAAACTGCTAATTATTATTATTGCATACTATTTCATATAACATGCTTGTTCATTTTCCATTATGTATATGAAATCCATGCACACTCATATGCACAATACAAACAATATTACATTATCTATAATATCTCCATCTTCCTATTTTAATTAAAAGGTACTGGAACAAATGGCAATTATTAGTAAAAATCTGAGTTCATGCTAGCTCTAGTTTATTTTCTTTTTTGCAACATTAATCAGGTTCTTTGACCAAATAATGTATACAAATAGAACATTTTAGAAATAATAGAATAGAATGTAAATTTACAAATAATAGAATAGAAAATTTAGAAGTTCATCACCATATTTTGCATTTAAACAAATATATTAATTAAAATGTCAAATTTTACATTTTGCACTTTTCTGAATTTTCTGTTAGAGTCTTATGTTTAACAATTAATATAAAACATATTTGCATGTGTGTGTGTATGCAAAAGATCAAAGTACTGAAAAAAGATCCAGAAGCAAATAATAATAATAATAATAATAATAATAATAATAATAATAATAATAATAATAATATCATAGATCAATGATAGATAGATAGATAGATAGATAGATAGATAGATAGATAGATAGATAGGAGATTAAAATTGAACACTCTATTAAAGTATCACATAACTGATAAACAAATGCCTTATTAAAAATAGTAATTCAAATTTATTAATAATTCAGGATGCAGTCCTGTATACAATTTTTCATGTATACTTTCCTTTGAAATCAGTTGTATTCCAGCTCCTGGTAGGATTCTGTGCTGTTGAACTCCCAGACCATCAGCCTATAAAAAGGAGTTTTACTCCACTAGTTGTAGCTGACTTTAGAGGATAATGCTCATTTCTGTTTCTGTAAACTACTGAGCTAGCGCATGTCCAAAGAAGATTCCATGGGCATATGATGTCAGCAGGGGTGGGTTCTAAATATTTTTACTACTGGTTCTGTGGGCGTGGCTTATTTTGTGGGCATGGCTTATTTTGTGGGTGTGGCTTGATGGTCATGTGACAATTATTTAGGATTTAGCAGAGGTATTGGTCTACCAAGCTGTACCGATCTACCCATTTATTTTTGCAGGCACTGGTCTACCCATTTATTTTTGCAGGCACTGATCTACTCATGTATTTTTGCAGGCACTGATCTACTCATATATTTTTGCAGGCACCGGTCTACTCATTTGTTTTCTTTCAACACTGTAGGGCGGCCCTTTGAAGCCCTGCGGCAAGAGTTTAAACAGTTTTTTTCCCTCTAGCCATCAGCTGGGACTCAGGAGGCAGCAATAGATTGGGGGTGGGGCCAAATAAAAGGTAAGAATAATATGGGGATGGGGGTGCGGGGGTGGGGGGCGAGGGAGTGGCGGGAACGGGGGGGCAGAACCGGTTCGGTAACGTCATATAGTCACTGCTACCAGCTCAGCAGAACTGGGCCGAACCGGGAGGAACCCACCACTGGATGTCAGCCACATTACAGAGTGTACGGCGAAACCTGGAATACTGTTACCTTCCCACAAAGTGGTACCTATTTATTTACTTGTATTTTTACATGCTTTCAAACTGCTGAATTGGCAGTATAGAATAGAATAACGGAGTTGGAAGGGACCTTGTGGGTCATCTAGTCCAACCCCCTGCTCAAGTAGGACACCCTATACCAGCGGTTCTCAACCTGGGGGTCGCGACCCCTTTGGGGGTCGAACGGCCATTTCACAGGGGTCACCAAAGCCCTCTCTCGCCCCCCCTTCACTCACCCTCACTCTCTGCTTTGTTGGATCGCCGGCCGTTCGTTTACCCCGCCCACTCCCAATCTATTGCTGCCTCCGATGGCTAGAGGAAAAAAAACTGTTTAAATTTTTGCCCCGGGGCTTCAAAGGGCCGCCCTATAGCCAGTGGTGCAGCCGAACCATTTGTTAAATTGCTGGCTTGCCCCGCCTCTCCGCACCACTATTTATTGCCAATAAATAGTGGTGGGCGAGAGGCAGGGGAGCCAGCAATTTAACAAATGGTTCGGTGTTTTTTTTTTATTTTATTGGCCCCCGGAGCTTCAGCATAGGCTAATTAGCCCTTGCTTAGATCGGCTCCCGACCCCCAGCTGATTTGCTCTCAGCTGTTTTGCTCAGGGCTCTGGTGCTTCCTTGCAAAGAGTACTGATTTTTTTTCCCCCTATCTATGCTTAAAAACGAAACTGAAACTGCTTTGCTGTTGCTGCAACTTGGAAAATTAGGCAGGCAGATTTCTTTTCTTTTTCCTCACCAAAAAAGGTAGGTGCAAACAACGGGAAATTTAGGGAAAAAGAGGAGATTTTAAAACACAAAAGAAAAAAGCTCTATTTAACTAGGGAATTGTAATAATTGAGATACTATTAATTGTATATTGTGTTGAAAGCAGAAATGGTTAAGTTGTGGTTTGGAGGAATATATGGGGGAAATTATTTGGTTTATTATTATTGATAAATATAATTAATTGATTTGTAAGAAATTGGATTGCATGGAAATAATTGGAATATTCATGTTCATATTGATTAATATACAAAGAAGGTAGTTATATAACTAATTGATTTATATTAAAATGTTGAATGTATATTAAACAACTGTAATATTACATAATTAACCAATGTGAGGATGGATATAAAAATAGATGACAATGGGAAGGGGTATAAAATAGAATAGAAGGGAAAAATTGAATTTGATTAAGATTAGAGATGAGGATGAAGGGTAATATTGGTTTTTTAAAAAAAATAGATGAGGAATAAATATGGCAAAAAGGAAATATAGAAATTGTAAATTTAATTGAAATGACTAAACACTGTTTAAATTTATGAACCAGCCAAATACTCTGTTCAAAGAAAATACATTGTATGTTTGTATGTGTGTTTCTAATTATTGTTATTTATTCATATTTGTTCTCTTTTATTCTTTAAAGTTTAACAATTCATTCTTTATCTTAATATCTTTATATTTGTTTGGGGTTGGCTTTCTTCCCTTTCATCTTTTTTATGGTACAGCAATCTTTCTCCTCAAACCTACCACCTCTCTCTTTTCTTTCCTTCTTACTTTCTCTTCCTCCCTCTCTTCTTCTCCTCCCTACTTCCTCTTCCTTTCTCCTTCTCCTCCTCTCTTCCTCCCTCTCTTACCCTCCCTCCTACTCTAATTTCCCTTCCCTTCCTTCATCCCTCTCTATTGCTGTATTTTTTTATGCATATGGACTACTCAGAGGGCTGAAAAAGTTATTTCTGACTGATCCTCGCACTTTTAACCAGTCTTCGAACTTACAACTGTCCTCACATTTTACGTTTTTGCCCTATCTTGTCACCATGGTGAAGAGAAGCAGTTGTGAAATGAGTGACACATTGTTAAGAATGCTACAATGGGCATAAATGATGACCAGTCATAAGTGCGAAGACCGGTCAAAAGTGCGAGGACCTGTCAGAAATCACTTTTTTCAGCCCTCTGGGTAGTCCTTTTGTGCATATGGACTACTCAGAGGGCTGAAAAAGTTATTTTTGACTGGTCCTCGCACTTTTGACCAGTCCTCGAACTTACGACTGTCCTCACATTTTACGTTTTTGCCCTATCTTGTCACCATGGTGAAGAGAAGCAGTTGTGAAATGAGTGACATGGTTGTTAAGAATGCTGCACGGGCATAAATGTGAGGATGGTCATAAGTGTGAGGACCAGTCAAAAGTGCGAGGACCTGTCAGAAATGACTTTTTTTAGCCCTCTGAGTAGTCCCTATACACATAGCCATGGCCACCCGGTCACATGACCAGCTAGCCACGCCCACCCAGTCACATGACCTCCAAGCCATGCCCACAAAATAAGCCACGCCCACAGAACTGGTAGTAAAAAAATTTAGAACCCACCCCTGGTTGGGGGTCACCACAACATGAGGAACTGTCTTAAAGGGTCGTGGCATTAGGAAGGTTGAGAACCACTGCCCTATACCATTTCTGACAGATGGCTGTCCAGTCTCTTCTTGAAAGCTTCCATTGATGAAGGCAACTTCCGAAGGCAAGCTGTTCCATTGGTTGATTGTTGTCACTGTTGGAAAATGTCTCCTTATTTCTAGATTCTCTCCTTGATCGTTTCCATCCATTATTTCTTGTCTGGTCTTCAGGTGCTTTGGAAAAAAGGTTGATCCCCTTCCCTCTTTGACAGCCCCTCAAATATTGAAACACTATTTTCATGGGTATCATATAGCTTTTAAATAGCAAGCTAAGCAAAGTTAGTGAGGCACTTAATTAAATTGGCAAATACAACCACAATACATTATTTATATTGTACAACTACAATATATGCTGCTAGGCATTTAATCACTAACACCTAAAGTTTGGAGGGATTTTAAGTATTCAAGTTTTGAGCTCTGTAATTGAACTCTATTAAATACAGGTATTCTTGAAGTACAGCTAATTCACATATTTATTTGACTTTGAATGTATACAGGAGATTTCTCTATTTCAATTTATCACTGAAGTTTTGAAACTTTGTTCTAAAAATATGATGAAATTGCTGTTTTAGTCATCTAGTATTGTGACTAAATAATTCACATTCCAGTTTAAACATAGATTTATTGTATGGCCTTAATCAAAAATTTTTTACTTAATATGATAGAAATAATGTAAACTATTTTATGGAATCCAGATGATTGATAAACAGATAAATCATATTATGAATAAATAAACACTTAATTAGTTAATTCAAAATAATTAAGATTGTTGTCTGCAATCCTCCATCCAGTTACTCATGCACAATTTCCTTGTTTCAGTTAGATTCCAGCTCCTAGGTTTTATACTGAGTGTCACACTATTTTTTTTTCATTTTCAGAGACTACTGTTAATACAAAACCAGTGTAAACTAACATTGATCCGCAGAAAAGATTTAAAGTAAGACTTTAAAAGATCTCCATGATTTATAATATTGCAAATAAACTTACCAAGCTTACTATGTTAAAATTTATCTCCTCCACTTCTGTGATTATGGGAGAGAAAGTGTTGTAAATCAGAGGTCCAGGCTTTTGCTCTGTTTCAAGATGTCTCCAAGATGTCTCTAAGATGTCTCTCCCAACCTCGTAGAGAGCTTTATTTTTATACTGACCTATATTCCACTCTGTTTTGTTTTGTCAGGCCATCCTCTTACGAGGGGCCAGAAAAAGGGTTATTATCAGGAGAGGAAGGCATGACTTTGAGATAGCGCAGGAAGGGATTTAAAGCAAAATGTAGTTATACATATACAAAAGAAAGAAACTCACTGAACAAAACAGCATCCTCCAATTAAATTAACACAAATGATAGGCCAAATTATACAAAATTTTTAGTTGATGCTGAATGTTTCTTGACTCATCTAAAATGTTAAAGCAACAAAGTTACATTTTCAGGAACTGATACAAATCAACTGCGTTAGAGGGTGGATAATATGCAGCTTCCCCCCAACAAGCTATATTCTTCTAATCAAAGTTCCTTTTGAACAAATACTCACTCAAATTAGTAAAGTTTTGAATTACAGTAGTAGGGATACGAACAGGGTTTAAACATGTAGAAAGCAAATTTTCCATGTCATAAGCTTCAGACAAACAAAAGGCATCAGTTTGTGTGATGTTTGCAAGCTGCACCCATAGGTTTTGTTTCATCCATTGTTCGAGAGAATGTTTAGGTGGGATGACAGCTGCTGATGCCAAAGTACAGTTATTAACAATCAAGCACAAACAAATTATGACTAAGGAATTGGCAGTTAAAACCGCAAAAATGGCAGCGCACAAATTTGTTCCATTTGTTGCTGCTGCAGCACTGCCTGCACTTTGGTGGTCAAATTCTTCACATCTACCCATGTCATTGGATGACTGGCATGACGGGATCGGGTTGGTTGCCACGCTGTCTGTAGAGTCACCTTTGCCATCTCTGGGATAGGGTTCAGGGGTTGGTGCCACGACATCCTTGGCTGGACAAATACAATGCACTGGGATCCACAAAGGTCCTGTAGATGTAAACACAGCAGCCTAGCCCCACCCCCAAGTAATTAAAGGAACCAGTCCTAACCATGTTTTGTCTGGTATTGCTCTATAATATACCAGAGGAGGAGGCAAACTTGTTTTTTGTTGAAAATGCCTCTGATAAGCGGTTGAATTAGAAATTGAAAAATTCAATTGCTTCAAAGTAAATAAAACTTTTGTAACCTGTTGTGTTACCCATGACAAATTTGGAACCCGAGAGCCCTCCTTTTTTATTTGTTTGTAAAGGCAGTCCTTAAAGGACCTATTAGCACATTCCACAATAACTTGACCTGTGGAATTATAGGGAAGACCATGAGTAACAACAATATTCCACGTTGTACAAAATTACAAAAAAGTGTGTGAAGAATAGGCAGGCCCATTATCTGTTTTTAAAGAAGAAGGCTTTGTCAAAGCCGTAATGGCTGAGAAAAGATGAGAAATAACATGATTAGCTGTTTCCCCTTGTTGTGGGGTAGCCCAAATTGCTCCAGAATAGGTATCAATAGATAAATGAATATATTTCCAAGGAGCTAAAGAAGGTGTCAGGTTTCATTGCTATCTTAAATAAACTTCATTCTCAAACGCAAAGTCTCTAATGAATCTCTTTTATTTAAGAATAGAAAAAACGACATGCCTGAACTCTGATGCAGCCAAGATTGGCACCTCCTTCCAAACCCCTCCCTTTCCGTTCTTCAACCCCAATGTCTCATTGGCCACCATCCAGATCCATCTCTTCGTCCCATGCACTTTCTTTTCACAGGAATTTCCCCCCTCCCTCTGTTGCCCAAGTAATGCTATCTGCTGAAGAGCCAGGAACTAGGTGAAAGTTCATCTCAGCATTAAAGCAAGTCTTTCTGTGATTTCATGTCAGTGCTGAAAGAGATCATAATTTGGAATGCTGACAGAAGGAACATGGGTAACATCCATTTGCCATAATTGATTAGAGGTGAGACCACGGGGATTAACTCCCGTGTCTCCTGAAGGGCATTGGGGACAGGATGAAACAATTTGCTTAGCTTGCTCTAGTGGAATGTGGTAAGCTTGTGCCAGCCCTCTGGCATTTTGATGGAAAAAAGAATGGCTAAAAAATGGATCTGTAAATAAAGTAGGTAAAACATGAACAGCAGCATCAGTATGACTGTTGCCTTCAGAAAGAGGCCGAGGAAGGGATGAATGACTGCATATGTGAGAGACAAAATACAAATGCTTCCGGTCTTGTAGTAATTGCTGTAAAGTGAGAAATAAAGCCATAAGGTTGGAGTCAATCCTGGGCGTGATATAAGCACCTGGAAGATTAAAAATAAATTGACATACATACTGAGAGTTAGAGATCAGATTAAAAGGTTGTTGAGAAAAAGTGTGGAAAGCTAAGATAGCTGCAGACAATTCTGAACGCTGAGGTGAAGACTGTACTGTAGTATAAGATATTTTCCAGATGTCGTCATGAGAATCCTTGTAAGCAATAACTCCTCTCGTTCGTCCTCCATCAGAAAAAATTGTAAGAGCTTGTGGTAGTGGAGAAGAAGAAAGTAATGAGCAAATAGGAAAAGAGGAAGTCATTAAGCAAGCAAACCTAGGATCTTTAGGCAGATGATATGAAATACAGCCTACATAGTCAGTTAGGGTACATTGAAGAGATAAATTATTCTGAATATAAAAGTGAAAGTCAGATTTTGAGATAAGAAGAACAATATTTATTAAATCAGTTCCATTTCTTCGATAGGCTCGAGTATGCCCTAAGGTTATAATTTCAGCAATAGCTTGGATAAAGGGTAAAACATTTTGAATTGGTGTATTTGGCAAATAAAGCCATTCAATACAATATACTTTTTGCTGTTCTAAAACAGCCAATACTCCTGTGGGCAGTTTACTAGTAGGAAATATTAACAGAGATAACTGACAATCTCTATGAGGGATTCAATCCACAAACTGAGTACTCAAGATGTTATTAATTTTCTCAACTATAGCAAATACTACAGATGGAACTATAATTAAATCTCCTGGCTTTTTTCCTTTAGTCAATAACTCAAATAATGGACTAAGTAAATGCGTAGGTAAAGAAAAATATGGGCGGACCCAATTAATAGTACCTAGCAATTGTTGCAAATTTACTAAGGAAATAACTTTGGGTAACTTTAAATGAGGAAAAGCCGGAGCAGAAAAAGACTGCAACAGTTTATGTCCTAAGTACAGATAAAGAGAGTGCAGCTGTATTTTTTCTGGGGCAATTTGCAATCCATAGACACATAAATCATTCTGTATTTCAGAAAGCCAATTAGATTGTATTTTTGGTGCTCCAATTAAAATGTCATCCATATAATGATATACCAAGGTTTTGATCCCTGATGAAAGAGAGGGCAAGATGTTACAGACATGCCCCCACTTGGATTTTTACACTCTCTTTTAAAATAACCAGGTTTTCCACAATCGTAACACTTTCCTTGAGGTTTGCTGTCTGGTGATAAAGCAGTTGCTAACAAATTAGTTTTATAAGAAGATGTTCTTATATCCTGACACACTTTAATCATATCTGCCAAATCAAGATCTTTTCCCAGCCCAACAATTGCTCTTCAACACTCAGAAGTGGCATTGTCTTTTGCCAGCCACCTGATGTTAGAGAAGGCCTGTTGACGCTTGCCAGAAACAGGCACTTTTCTGAAGGCTTGATAAGCACACTCAGAAGAAACTTGCAAAGTTGCAGCCGGTAGACAAACAGAAAGCATATCAGCAATTTCTTCTATATTCTCCCCCCCCCCTTGTCTAACTATTTCTTTAAATTCTGCTTAATGGGGGTGTAACTAGCTCCTTCAGAAGGAGCTGATGGTTCAATTAAAGATGGTTTTGAGGTGACAATTTTAACTTTATAATCAGGCAACGAGCTTGTAGTTAATTGTTGCCCTTCCAAAGCATCAGAGCCATATTTTTCTATTGCCTGACAACATTGATACCATTGATGTAATATTTTCACAGGTGCCTGAGGTTCAAGATGTAATGTATGTCCTATCCTTGTCCAGTCCCGTAAACGAAGTGACCCCTTTTCAGGGTACCAGGGACAATGTTTCCCTATCTCAATTACCAGTTCCCTTATATCAGTCTCACACGGCTTGATGCCAGACTTGTGCAAAAGGAATCATAGTTCCTGCACATGCTTTTGCTGATATTGAGATAGATTGCAGCCCATCACTTACCACTAGGGATCCCGAAGGATGAAAGGCGTGCCAGGGGTCTATTCCAGATGATGATAAGGATGTTAAGGATGCTGCTTCCCATGGAGGGTGTCCCTTTCGGGCACTAGATGTAAATCAGAGGTCCAGGCTTTTGCTCTGTTTCAAGATGTCTCTAAGATGTCTCCCCCGACCTCGTAGAGAGCTTTATTTTTATACAGTATTACTCAAGCAGATAAAAGGTAGCACAGTAACAGGGTTCTGATTGGATAACTTATTCACCCCCCTCTCAAGATGCCGTCCTCTCTAGGTGAGATGATCTCATTCAATTCCGAGCCAATAATGAGGTAAGCTGGAAAGATCCACAGAGCACAAGCCGGCAGTGTGCTGCTACAGCCTGGCACCGTGACCCTTTACCCACTGACCTACAAGAAAGACTTTAATAGATAATATTTAATATTTAAGGAGGAAGAACTTTATTGAGATGTCTGAAATATCACAAAATAATGAAAATTGCTGTTAAATACTACAAAAATTCAGAGTATAAAAATAGGTGATGGAAAAGGAAAATACAAATAATATTATAAACAATACCAATTTCTGACAGGTCAGTTGATTAAATATAATGTAAATTTCAGATGATTGATTCCAGAGGGAATTTTAGTAACTTGGAATGAAAAAAGATATAGAATTGACCCATTGGATAAACCACATGAATTCTATGAATATCAATTTGGCACCACTGAGGAACAGGAAGGGGGAGAGAGACAGAACATAAAGGTCAAAAAGAACCAGTACATGAGGAAAAGATTATACGACAAGAAGAAAGTGAGGCTGAGAAAATAGAACTAGTAGAGAAGGAGCAAAAGTAAAGGAACAGAAAGAATTAAGATCAACTAGGACAATGCGACCTGTAAATACTGATGCACCAGAGT